AGCCTCCCCCTGGCCTGGTCCCATCCCTCCCCTGGGGTGGGCCTGGGGGCAGTCGGGGGCCTTACCTGCTGGATGATAACACCGATGGTGGACCTGCCCACCCCAAACTGGTTCCCCATGGAGTGGTAGCTGTCCAGGGTGGCCAGTTTCCAGAGGGCAATCGTGACCCTCTTGTCCACGGGGATGGCGTGGCGAAGGTGGGTGTCCTGCCTCTGGAGCGCAGGGGAAGCCAAGTGCAGAGCTCGTGGAATCTCCCCCTGCACATCCAGAAGTTCTACGCCCAGTGCTAGTCGCCCCATTGTCCCAGCACCAGGTACTCCCACCAATCCCCGCTGGTGTCATGCCTCCACAGGCACCTGTCGGTGGTGGGGTGGGGGTGCCTGAGCATAGCTGTGGCATTGATCACAAGGGCCTACAGGTGCTGCCCGGTCTCCAGCTCCTGCTGGAGCAGTGTGGCTCCCTGGTGCAGCTGTTCCACAGCCTCGATGATGGCCGTGAGGGGACACTGGTGGCCGGCATCCTCCTCTGGGTCAATGCCTGGAACGGCGGGGTAGGGGGGCGAGGGTGCCCAGGGCCAGTAGCCAAAGGCTGTGGTGCCCTAGGTGTTGTGGTGTGAGCTCCGTGTGGCACGGCTGTAGCTCTCGGTCCCTCCAAGAGATGCCTAAGTATGCATCCACAGGGAAACGGCTGTCTGGGGGGTCCCTTTAAGCACGTTTCCCAGCGGGGGTCCAGCACACACCCATGGATGCTGCTGGTGACCTCTTGCCATGGCCGAAGTGGTTCCGGGGCCATGTTCTTGTGCAAGGGCATCCTGCCAGTGTGGACGCTTTCTTGCACAAGAACTCAGCATTCTTGTGCTGTGCTTCTGGCTGTGTGGATGCTCTCTTGCGCAAGAATCCTTGCGCAAGGAGCCACTAGTGTAGACATAGCCTAGGTGTGAGCTGTAAGACTGGCTCAATCTGTCTCCTTTCCCCCCTGTTCTAAGGATAGACTTAAAGCAGACTCCAGTGGAAGCTGGAACCTTTTGGCCAGCCTAGGGAGTGGCTAAGAGTTGAAATCACTAAGAGCTGAAGTCACTAGTTTGGCCTGGAGCCAGACCCATTGCAACCATCAGGGGGCCAGCTGGTGGGAGTGGGCAGCTGGCAGGAGCAGGCGGCCAGCAGGGTGACTGTCAGGTGCAAGCAGACCACAGGAGCAGCACAAAGGTGGCATTGCCTCACACCGGGGGCCAGCTGGTGGGAGTGGGCAGCTGGCAGGAGCAGGCGGCCAGCAGGGTGACTGTCAGGTGCAAGCAGACCACAGGAGCAGCACAAAGGTGGCATTGCCTCACACCCAATGAATGGAGTCATCAGGGTGATGTGCCTGGGTCTGCACTGACTGGAAAGAGCTGTAAGTGGGGTGTTTGAAGCATGGAATGGAGAAGGTTTGGGTATGTGAATGGGACCCTTACATTGTCAGATTGGTGAAACTGAGAGGCAATCGACATTGCTCAATTCATTTGAGCGGGGACAGATACTCATGGGTTCATTATGAACTCTGGTTATGATATTTCCCCAAGCTAATGCCATGTGACTTCTCTCTCTCTTTCATTAAAAGTTTATTTTCTATGCTCAGACTCTGTGCTTGCGAGTGGGGAAGCATTGCCTCTCAGGGGTGTGTTAATTTCCCAGGCTACTGGGTGGGGGCTCGAGCTGGTTCTGTGTGAGATGGATGAAAAGGAACCCCTAGATATTGAACCCGGCCCTGGCTGCTGCTGACGATACCTGGCAGAATGGTTACACTACAAATAAGAAAATGCAGAGGAAAGAAAGGATAAGATGCACAGACATGGAAGAGGTACAGGAACAGATACGAGAATATGAATGGACGAGAAACCAAGGGTAGACATAGTGCTGATCCTAAAAGGCACTATTGTCCTTGTGGGCAATTCTAAATGTGACAATGAGGGACTGAACAAATAAAAAATAATTATAATGGCTTTATTACTACCTAAAGGCTTTAGTCCACCTGAGATCTTTGTACAAAACGCCTGTACAGTCCAGTGAGAGATCTGATGGGAACCTAAGGTTTCATGGACCATAATTAAAACTGGAATTTGGCTCTTTCTCCAGAATGAGTTTAGCAAACCTCATTTAAAATGAGGATTTTATAATTATAGTAAAATGCACACAAGGATCTAATTTGTGTGATTATTTTGTCTGTTGCTTTGGCCAAAGCCAAAGCCTTCTGCAAGAACTCCTGCATCTCTTTTTCTTGGAACATTCTCATCAGAACATAGGAACCTAGGACTCTTTTGCAAAAAGTACATCACGTAACATTTCTACAAGTCAAATGTCATATGAAAAATAACAAAACCAGCTGGGGGAAGTATAAATTGGCAGCCTTGCTGGCAAACTTAGCCGTGAAACCAAGGAATGCATGGGCACTGGAACTTGATTACAGAGCATTGTCACCACAGAGGGATGGCCCTCTTGAGGGCAAAGTTGAGTCACATTGGCAAAGCAGTGCAGGGAAGCTGGAGCTATGGTATACCATGCTACAGTTTCCAGTGCTGTTAAACTGACAGTCTGCATAAGCATTTAAAATTGCTGTAGGGATCAGGAGCCAGAAGAAAAAATAACTAATGCAGCTAGAACAGAATGGAAAGAGGTCATGAAAATAAGGAGCTTCTCACCAGAGTGAAATCATAGTAACACAGGCATTATTATTATTATTGATTATTATTAACTAGAGTATTACAAAGGTTGGCTAAACTGAAGTATTATAAAGGAGCTAGTATTGTAAAGTTTGCTAGTGAATCTGGTTCCAAAGTCTGGAAGTAGCTATCTACATGAGGAGCTTTCTCCTCTATGAGATATTTCCATACATAATAAAGACACTTGATATTATCAGCCTCTTCTTCTCAATGTTAAATTTCTTCATGGAGGTTTATGATAATAGTCATAGACAAAACTAGATAGGTCAACAAGGGGTTAAAAGCACAAACATTCATAACTACAGACAGAACTACAGCACAAGTATTACTGTTAGAGCCAAATTGATGGCCTGGATCAGGAAACACTCATATGCATAAATAACTTTATCATGTGAACACAATGAGGAGTCCTGTGGCACCTTAAAGACTAAGGGTACGTCTAGACTACAGGCTTTTGTCGACAGAGTTTTGTCGACAGAATCTGTCCACAAAACTTCTGTCAACAAATTGCGTCTAGACTACATCAAGCAGATAGACAAAGCTATTCGCTTTGTCGACAGAGAGCATCCATACTGCTGGATGCTCTGTCGACAGAAGAAAGTACCCGGAACTGCTTCTGCCAGGTCACAGGGGCAGCATGTACTTCCTGGTGCTGCTGCCTGCCCTTTGCAGAGACGCCTGCTAAAAGGGATCCCCCTGACTACCCGTTGCTCTGCTGCTGCAGCTGCCTTGCTTACCTCCTAGAGGGACAGCAAAGATTCTGCAGTGCATGCTGAGAGTGCCCTGCTTCCTGGCACAGCACACCGGTGTGGGGTTTTTTTTGGGTTCCTGCACTGTTCCTGCCTCCAAACTTTTTCCCCAAGAGGCGATTTTGGAGGATGGAAACAAGTACGGACTGGTGGGACCGGCTCGTAATGGAGCAGTGGGATGATCAGGCTTAGCTCCAAAACTTCAGGATGCAGAAGTCCACCTTCCTGGAGCTCTGTAACTGGCTTACCCCCATCCTGCAACCACAGGACACCCACCTGCTCCTGCCATCCTGCTGGAGAAGAGGGTAGTTATTGCCCTCTGGAAGCTGGCCACTCCTGCCAGTGGGACACCAGTTTGTTGTGGGGAGATCTACTGTTGGCACCGTGTTGATGGAGGTAAGTCCCTCAGGGAATACTGGGATCTTAGAGGGGAGAAGGAGGGCCTCCCAAGGATTTGGGCAACCCCTCTCACTTCATATTCTGTGTGTGTTTGTATGTGTCTATTTCTGCTGTTTGTATGTGTCTATTTTTGCAGGTGGTGAGGGCCATCAACTCAGAGCTGCTGAATCGGATTGTCCGCCTCGGAGACCTAGACACGATCATGGCTGGTTTTGCAGGGCTGGGATTCCCAAACTGTGGAGGATCGCTCGATGTAACACACATTCCCATCCGTGCACCACCCCATTGAACTGCCTGGTATATCAACAGAAAAGGGTACTTTTCCACTGTGCTGCAGGCCCTGGTTGGCCACCGTGGACTATTTACGGACCTATGTGTAGGGTGGTCGGGCCGGGCACATGATGCTCGGATCTTCTGCAATTCACACCTGTACAAAAGGCTGCAGGCAGGAACCTTCTTCCCCCAGTGAACCTTTGCTATTGGGGACGTAGAGATGCTGGTCTGCATTGTGGCCGATGCGGTGTACCTCCTCATGCCCTGGCTTATGAAGCCATACACAGGGCATCTGACCCCGAGCAGGGAAGTGTTTAACGCACACCTGACACATACACGTTTACAGGTGGAATGCACATTTTGCCGGGTGAAGGGAAGGTTTAGGTGCCTGCTAACTCACCTTGACATGGGGGAACACAATATCCTAGAGGTGGTGGCAGCATGTTGCACCCTCCACAACCTGGTGGAGAGCAAAGGGGAGGCCTCCCTCCCAGGTTGGGGGACAATGGCTGAAGTGGAGGGGAGGCAGTTTGCGCAGCCTCGGACAGCTGCCATTCGCCAAGCCCATCAAGTGGGGGTTCGCATCCGGGAGGCTCTGCGTAAGAGCTTTTCACCTGGAGCCCAATGACTCCCCAAGGTCTCCCCAATGGGGCTTGTGGGCCTGGGCCTTCCCGTCCCAAAACCTTCCCTCCCACAATCCATCCCTGCATCAGCCTGCAAACAGTTAAGACACACACATCATGCTAAAGATGAAAAATATAATGTTTATTAAGTAGTAATGATAGAATGTTGAACTGTTATAAAAATAGAATTGTTAAACAACTGTTACAAAATAAACTTTGTGTTGAACTCTTACCCTGAGTTTTAACTGGGATGGGAGGGGGGAATGTCAACCTGGAGGGAGGGAGAAACGGATGTGGAGGAGGAAGGGCAGACAGCTTAAGGATCCTGGCGATATCGCCTGGGCCGAAAGACTTTGCCACCTCCTCGTGTCCGTGGACCCTGACGTCCTCGGGCTCGAGTCAGGGCTCCAGAAGGCTCTGCTCTAGCAGGGAGGCAGTGGGGTAGCAGGACAGGAGGAGTAGCAGGGGCTGAGGGAGAGGAAGGGGGGCAGGAGCTGGATGGACAGGAGGAGACCCCAGGGGAGGAGGATCTGGCACAGCCAGGGCCTCCCGGACGGTGGTGCACATGCACTCCACTGGGGGAGGAACTCGGTGAGCAGGTGATCATGCCAGCCCGCCTCCTCCCGGTTCTCTCTGCCATAGGCTCTTGGATTTTTGCCATGGTCCCCTCCATCTTCTCCATGGTGTCGACATGCCACTGCAGGAGGTCATTGTAGGCCCTCCAATGCTTGCAGGTGCTGTGGGACTGGGTGGGTGGTGGCACCGGTGTTGCCCGGCAGTCAGCTGCAGCAGGTCTGGCTGTGGAGGAGAAGAGGGAGAATCAATCACTGTTAGGAATTCACACACAAGTCCTTAAAACAAGGGATCGGAATGTTGTTACTGTAAGGCCACTTCCGGCTGCACAGGGGCCCCATTGTGGCTGGGGAAATCCCCACCTTCACCCCTTGCATCCTCCCCCCCTCCACCATGGCCGTTGGCCAGGTAAGTGTGCAGCCATGGTGGGACAGGGTCCTGCAGCACTATGGGCCTCCCATGGCCTCCACCCACATACCTACCACCTGCCCGCCCGCTTGCACATGCACAAAGAGATGCAAGCTCTGCAGGAGGACCAAGACGTGCACATTGCTCTGCATCCTCTCTGCTCCCATCTCCCCGGTTCTGTGTCTGTGACCCTGACTGCACTCACCTGATGTTCCTTCGCCTGGGTCAGAGGATGGCCGCAAGGCTTCCTTGGTGTCCGGGACAGGCTGCAGGGTCAGTGTCACGGTCTCCTGTGTCTGCTGCTCCTCCTCCCCCTCCTCCACATCTTCCTGGGAGACCTCCTGCCGTGCCTGCTGCACCGATATGGGCAACCCAGTCTGGACGAGCACCGGTGCCGACATCGGTTCCTGGCCTCCAAGGATGCGGTCAAGTTCACTGTAGTAGGCACAGTGCACCAGGGCTGCACCTGATGAGGAGCATTGCTCTCGGGTCTTCATGTACCCCTGGCGCAGTTCTTTTACTTTGGCCCGTACCTGTTGCAGGGTCCTGGGGTGATGCCCTTTATCAGCCAGCCCCTGGGCCATCCGGCCGTAGACGT